GGTATCTAACGCATAAAATTTTGCACAGAATGTGAAGGGCCTGACGTTTCAATTCCAGCAGAATCTTTCTCAAAGGCTTTATTTAAAAGAGGTTGGATCAGTGGTAAGCTTGAACCCTTAAGATGGATCATGATAGCAGTCTATGGTACATACATACATGTACTGTGAATGTGCAGTAGCACAACAATGGGATGAAGGCCTATTATTTTCAACCTCCGTTTAACCTGCGTACCAATTCTGTACCAAGAGCAATTTGTATTTAGGGGCTTCAAGACCTTTCGTTTGATTACAAGTACGTGCATAGTTTAATAGTGGAGACTTCCAACTCACTGATGCCTACTCATGGCGCTTTGAATTGACTCAATTTCTAACCATGTTTATTTTCTTCTTTTCACCTCATTTTTCAATCACCCCCTTCCCACCTCATCACCTCGCTGCCGTGCCCATCCCCATCACGTGGGTGTACCATGTGGTGCATGAAATGCACCCTATAGGTTGTGGTATATTTCACACTTTGCATGGGGTCCCATGTCATTTATCTCACAGACTCACACAGGTAAGTCTTCATTTTGGGATGGGTACGTCACTTTGAAGATCGGGTCCCACTGGTACATTGTAGATGTCATTATCCTCTACTGGTACTTTTCAGCTTCCCTGTTTCAAGCATACATCGCAGCTTTTTTTCTTGCAAGTGGCTAAGGCGGTATCCGAGTCTCTTGTCTAAGGCTAGGTCTAGGTCTTCCCTCCATCGGAAATGCGTGGAGACGCGCAGACAATAGACCTAGCCGTAGCTCTGGAAGCCCGTTTTCGTACACAGCCTGAATTACTGTGTAATTTCATTATCATGCACACTTCCGTCACTTTCTTTGTTTTTTTTTTTTTGGTTTTGCTTTAAGATGTGATCTTGCACAGAATAGACTGCGGAATGCGAATGTACATTGTATGATCAACCGATATCGACAAATCAGTGTACCTGTACATGTACAATGTAGATGAGGAAACAGTGCGCGACTTGTGTACCATTGTTACATGTATGTGATGCACATTTGCACCAGTGGATTTGAGCAGACCTCAGCTGCATAATGCTGTACATGTATCCATACTTATAAACCGATGCATGAAATTTTATAGCTTTTTTCATTGCTTGCTGTTTTTGTTTGTTCACAAAGTCTGCTGTCTCTTTCCTGACCATCCTACATGCACGCTGTATGCACTGTACCTGCAGCTTTGTTTCACTTTCCTCTTTATGTGGTGTCTGTACACTTACATGTACATTTTTGTACAGTGATTAGAGTCAATCTGGTTTTACCATAAAGAGTAAAAATTATGTTACTTGTACATTAGCTGTAGACTATGGTACCAGTGCAGTACAATGTATGAAGTTACTTTGTATTTTAGGAAAACTGCACGCTGTCTCTTTATGTTGGTCTGTTTGTTGTAGATGAGATGTTTGGTGTACATGTACATGTAGACGCAGTTTTCCGGATTAGATATGATATAATTAAAGGGTCAGTCTCATTAGCAGTGTCCCCTTATGGTTATAAATATCTGCATTTCAACACCCAAAACCATTTTATACGTACCTGTAGTCTCAATAAAAGGGTAAATGAGGTTTTTTTTTCTTTTGTTACAACTTAGTTGGTATCCCGTGTGCAGTCAAAATATACAGAATAAAATGCTTCATCTGTCAGGTTTGACATTGAAATGGACATCAATATTCTTTTCAAGACAGAAATTGCTCCCTGGTTTCAATTCAGTGGTAGCCTGCACAGTGATCCACCCAAAGAACATGCTTGAGGAAGTGCTCAAAGCACAAGTAAAACTCATCAGGGAAGCACGTACCGGTACTGCTGATGTGACGGTACATCGACTTACCGGTCCCCTTCCCTGTGTTTCGCGCCATGCGTTCTATCCTTTGGATATTGGGATACATGCTTGGAATGTTGGGGTTATAATTGCTGGGTTCATACTCAGTGGTACTTGTCAACTTTTCATTTCTTAGTTCTTCTGACACATCCACCGTGACTTATTTGTGAGCAGTCAGCGTAGCTTTTTAATACAACTTTAAGTAGAGCAGAACTCAATAAAACTGAATGTTTAGGCATAAGAACTAATAACGGGAACATAAACTAATACTTGGTTGTACGTCCATGTGTACAGGGTACCCCTACCAACATTCACAGACCTGGGTACCTGTGCTCAACATCCAGAGCGCAAGGCCCCACAGAAATCCAACTAAGTTTGATCGGAAAACCACCTGTGTTCTGTCTGTTGGGGATGTACAGATGAGGAAAAAGTCCTGTCAAGGGGCATGTCTAGGAGGTACTTTACCAGTAGTCTTCAAAGGAATGTGCATTGTCACAGTCCACAGAAGGGATAGTTGGGAATGAGGGCACGTGACAAGTGCTGGTTTGTACTTGAAGAGCTTTTAAAGAATATCATGTACAAATGGAGTGGACTGCATGTATTCATGCATTATTCATATGCATATCATTATCTTATCACTTACATGTAGTGCTGTAAAGACATTTGTTCGTGCATACCAGTATGTACATGTGGCATGTTCTTCATAAAATGGACCAAATTGCAACTCTGGATGTCATTTTTCAAAATTTCTAAAAGAGTGACTTTGATCATGTAAAATACAAATTAGCACCCTCAAATTTATAAAAATGATTATTTGGGGATAATTAGGCATAATGTGTACATTTGGTGGACATTTGGTTGGCTACCAGTGCAAATCAAATGGAGTTGAATTCATTTAAAGTTTTACGTCAATGTTTTGTCACCAGAGGACTTGGTTCCAAAACTTCTCTCAACAAGAAGGAGAATTCAGTATATACTTTAACTGATGTATTTAAAGCACCTAAGGAATATGTAGCTTTAAAAAAAAAAAGCCATGAAAAAAAGAGCACAAAATTGACGGAAAA